CACACACACACACACACACACACACACACACACACAATCATGTCACCATGACTTTATAAATGTCCTGGAGACTTTCTCTACCTTGACTATTACTACTTGCCTCACCCTAAACCTTAATGCTAACGTATTCCTAGATTGTGCAGCTATCCTTATCAAGTCTTAGCATTGATGTCCATTCACTGTGGAAAACCTGACTAAAACCTTAACCCTTAACCAGAGACAGAAATTAGGTTTAGCCTCTTTAGAACTAGACTTTGAGCCTCATTAACTCCACTGGTCCTGACAGGCTCAATGTTTATAGAAGAACAGGTCCTAAAGTGAGAGCAAAAACAAGTAAAGATGCACCACACACACACACACCCACACCCTTAAACCTGAGATATGATTTCTCTTGCACACTGCAGGGTGACAGTGGAGGCCCTCTGGTGGTAAAAGAGGGAAATGTATGGTGGCTGGCAGGGGACACTAGCTGGGGGATTGGATGTGCTTGGAGGAACAAGCCAGGAGTCTATGGCAATGTAACCTACTTCACTGACTGGATATATCAACAAATGCAGGTACAGTATGTTCATTCCATAGAGATTTGTACCTCTTATATCGTGAGCTTTGGAGTTTCACATACACATTGTTGCTCTCTTGGCAGTTATTTTAGTGTTTGACGTTTTTACAGACACTGTAGGTCGTCTACTGTTAGATTGGAGCTCAGGTAATTCAAGCTCAGTTAACAACAGTGACCCAGCAACGACTGGAAGTTAGCAACCTGATCATGTTTTTTGTGCTCGCTATGGGTTGAATTCAAGTCAGGTTTGGTAAATGGGTTTAATAGTTTAGCGTTTAGGGTACGTCACAGCTCAGTCTAATATGCATGAGTGACAAGAACCTGACATCTGATTCTAATGTTTCCTCTTATTCCAACAGGAAAACTGATGGAAACATCAACAAACATGAAGAAATACCTCTTTGATTAATCAGTGGTACTCACACACTTTGCACTTTCAATCTGAAGCAACAGAAGGAAGAAAGGTTTACACACAAAAAACCCTGATCATCCCATTATTTTTCTATAGCAGTTATGACTACACATTGAATCTTTGTATTAGAACCAAATCAAATTATTTGTTTTAATAAAAACATTTTCAGAAAAACTAAGTTTGACATTGTGTGTAGATTGTCAGAGAACACGTGTGCCTGCTGTCTCCTGCTCAGTTACGTAACTGTGAAGCAACACTGCTGCTGTTAATGTGACTTTTAGAGCAGATCCCAGGGCTCCACACTTCTGCATCTAATCCACCTGTTGGCTCTCACCTCAGTACAGTACACTACAGTGCAATAATAATAATCATACATTGTATTTACAGGAGCCTTCCACAGCAAAGTCACAAAAGTACAGTACAATAATAACATTACAACAATGTATTATAGTACAGTATAGTGCAGTGCAGTATAGTTCTGCCCAGAAATGTATAGTATAGTTGTGGAGGAGACTCAGAGAACCTACAGGCAAACCAGGGAGAGGTGATTGGCACAGCTGAGATGAGTTTGCCAATGATCTCTCCCCGGATTCAAAAGGCAGCAGCTGAGCTCCCACACAGGAGGAACACGAGCAGTGTTGCCAGTTTAGCAACTTTTCACCTTCCCTTGCTAAACTGATCCAGTGGCAAGTGACAAATCTGGTGACTTTCTGCTGCTTTGGCAATCTTCTTTTTAGTTGTTGAGCAACAGCAAAATCACATTCACTGATTTGTGTCTCTCCTGTGTGCCTCTATGTGTCCTCCATGCGTCCCTCCCTGTGTGCCTTTTGAATCCAGGGGGAGTTGATTGGGCAACTAACCTCTGTGACAATCAGCTCTCCCTGGTTCACCCGGAGGTTCCCTGAGCCTCCTCCATGGCCACAAGATCTAACACGCAGCTCAGTTATGTGATTGGAGGGCAGAGTGCATTGCGACACAAATCACCCCTTCATCATCCCCACCTGTTCTCTCCACCCACATTCCACTGAAAAAATAATCAACGACCGGGCAAAATATCCAACGTGCAAGAGAACGGCGTGCCGGTCAGCTGCGCAACGTATGGAAGTTAGATGTTTCTATGCAAAGAGTGACATCAATACGCAATCTAGCAACTTTTAGCTAAAAAGAACCAAAGGCTACTTCTGGTGAGACTTGTTTTGCAACACTGGACACGAGGAGAGACAAAAGAGACCTGTTAGAGAAGCTCATGAAGGAGAAGAAGAGACTAAAAGCTGAGCAGATCAGCCTAGCATCTTATGTCAGGGTCAATTTATGTTTGGTTCCTGTTTTACAGAAATAAACATGCTGAAGAGTGAGTGGTTCATCTCTGGCTGTTGTGGGGAGACCCCGGTGGCATTGTCAATTGCCACAATAGTGAAGTGCAGTACAGGATAGTTCAGCCCAGAAAAGTATAGTATAGAACTGTACAGTATAGTATAGTGAAGCACAGAACAGTACAGAAGAGGAACAGCAAGGTCAGAGTCTGTGCACATTCACTGCTCTGATCAAGCACTTTGTTAGGAACAACCTGTACACTTGCAGATTGCACTGATCAGCCAAGAGGTCAGAGGGGAATGGTCACACTGGTTGGACAGGAAAGCTATGGTAACTCAGATAACCTCTCTTTACTACTGTGGTGAGCAGAAAATAAAAGCTGATTGGCCACTTTATCCCCATATTGCTCGTACTGCCACAAAAAAACCCTCAAATAACTAATCTCAGTGATAAAGAATGTAAAAAAGAATCCCTGAAAAACACTCTAAAAGTTAATGGTTTCTCATTGGCCCACACTCTTCCACCAAGTTTGAAGGAAATCACTTCTGTAGTTATGTAATCCTGCTGACAAAGATGTTTAGACAAACAGCAATAGAAACAAATGGCGGAGGTTATGTTGAACCTTGACATGGATGTTTGTACAACAGCAGAAACCATGTCAGGTTCACATCTGTCAGAGAAAGAACAGAATCCTGAAGCTGCAGCGGGACACAGACTCAACACTGGACATTTAAAGACTGAAAAACTTAGTCTGGTCTGATGGATGGGGATTTCTGCTGAGGCTGCAGATGCTCTGCGTAGAATGTAGTGTTATCAGCATATTTCCTTTTGCTGTACACCTTGTTCTCGAGTGTTTTTTTTCTCACCGGCCTGAATGGATCAACCTGAAAGAGTAATAAAAGTGGAACGTGTTCAGGAATGACAATAATAAATGTGACTAACACCCTGGCCTGTGGATTGAAGCATATCGTGAGGAGAGCTTCACTCAGTGAGTGGCTGAAGATGCTGTGGCAGCTGAGCAGCGTGTTGCGAGTTGGTTTTAGAAGAGTTTTTCATGTCCTTTGACTCTCAGTAAAAATAGAGTGTTTCTCCCACTCAGTGTATGCGTCTGTGCATGGGTGTGTTTTGTTCATGTGATAACTGCATGTGTTTTCCTCAGCAGGGTGCAGTACAGAGATGAGGGCCTCTTGACAGCACATCTATTTAATTTCATTAGGTCATTTATTTGGTAGAGACAGTGCTCAATAATCAACAGACATATACTAAAAATTAGCTATAGTTAGCTGTAAAAGCTCATTTCCAGCTGTTGTCCCTTTAGTCACTTCTTACAAGGCAACCTGCTATAAAATAAAATGACATATTTTATATAATTACAAATAATTATGGATAATTCATGTGCATTATACAAACCATCCAAACTAAATGTGCAAATAACCCATGAATAAAATTGAAATCAAACAATACAATACTACACATAGATACAAAAAAACCTACAGATACACATGTAAACTCAATCACATAAGATATTAGATTCATTAGTAGTAGCAGTAGATAAATACATGATCACAAGTTTGCTTTGCTTTAAGCTATGTCTGTAGTTTAAAGTAATTACATTGTTTTCTAAATCAACTGACACGTTACTCCAATGGTTGGTGTTTTCATTATGATTCAAAGAAGACAGACACAGCCTCGATGTCTCATGACCTCGGCCCAGTCAGATGTGTTGAGAAGTGAGTTTATGGATACAAACTTTGACAGTGTTTTCACCTGTGTTGACAGAACTTTGACTTCAGGGCTTTTGTAAGTTTTCAGTTGCAGTTTTGTGTTTTAAAGGCAACAAAAGTACTTGGTTAGGCAAAAAAAAGATCATAGTTTAGATTCTATCAGACCCTGACATAACATTTACCACATGCACATGCTGACAGACAGAAAGCCTTGAAGCTAAACTTCCCCCATGTGCATTTTCAACCGTCTTTAGTGGATGATTTCCATTTATATAAATTCATTGTCAACATTATTTCCACGGACAAGTTTTTCTTGTAAGCGACGTCCACCCATGAGCCGCTGTGCCCTTTTCTGTGAATTTTATTTTTCACTCCAAATTTCAATTTTTCTTTCTTATCGCTATGGTGACATTCATTTACACAGGCTTGTCTATAGATTGCATATGAAAATGGACTTAGCCTCTGTGACACCACCCATAGGTTACACAGCTGCAGGGTTGGAGTTATAGGTGTGGTTTAGACTGTACAAACAACTTATTGTTTATGATTATTCTGGGATGAATGCTGGGAACAGAACAACAGTGAGTGGATAAATTGTGTGTGAGAGTAGCCTCTCTCCTCCAGAGCCTGCTCTGTGTAACAGCGCCACCCTGTAGCTGCCACGCATCAATACACTTCAATAGCTGTGTTTTACACCCTGCAGGTTTGATTTATCATTAACATGTCTCTGTATATATGTGTGTGTGTGTGTGGGTTTGAGCCACCTGTCTGATTGAACAAAAAACAAATAAGAGTTATTGTGCTCTGTCCGAACAGATCAGAACAAAAGAAGATGCTAAACTGAACATATTTAACAAAATAGATAAACAGGCAGACTAAATAAATAAATAACATGTGTGTTTTCTTCATTCAAAGTTAAGATGAAGATTGAAGGTTAGTCATGAGGTCTGCCACTGTCATGAAGCTGATGTTTGCAGTAGTCAGCTCAATAGAGAGAGTAAGGATGGTGTCACTGAGGAGAACTCTCTCTCCAGTGTTCTCCCTGAGACACCAAATAAGACTTCACTCTGGAAGAGAATCCGCCACGCTCTGGGGTTGAGAAAACCACAGTGTTGGAAGAAGTCAGCAGCGCCCATCAAACAGCACCTGAGCTGAGCTCACCTTCTTCACCTGCTTGAGGACCGTCAGGGTTAATGGAGGGATTTACGATGTGATTAAAATAAATGTTTTTTACTATTCTTACAAATACTTTTTTGTGTTTTTTTTAAAGGACACATAAACTTGAAGAGCTTTTGTTTGTCCTTCATGTGGGCACAGTCATGGAAATCGCAGTGGAGTGCTGCTTAAAGCTGTTCATTACTGTATACATTTGTCTATCATTGTGCGCTGAATACCAATGATGTACTCATTCCGATGAATACTAGATGGTCAATGTCCTTCTCCAAGTGGGTCTAGAACTCACGCATGTGTAGGTCTAAAATGGTGGAGAACACGGGCTCTCCGGCTCTGCAGGTTGATGATAATGAGGAAAGTAGCAGCACAAGTGAAAAATATAGAAAGACTGAAAATATCAGTGCAAATTGAAACATTATATACAAAAGTAGGGATAATGCTTTATATCAATTCAAGTGCTTATTGTCGTTGAACAGCTGTACAAGGAAACTCAGTGGTACATAGAGACAACAAAAAAAGTCAAAGTGTAAGACCTCATCCTTCTTTGTTGTGTGTCTGCACTGGAAACCAGCTGTTATATAGGCTGAGGAACTGCTGAGGACTGGGCGTGTTGGGCAACTTCTTCTTTGAGTCTCTGACACAGGGAGTAGGAAGTATACCATTCATGGATTGGTTTTGATTTGCTCAAACGACAGAACAGATCCCAGTGATCCTGTGAAGATGACATGACACTTGACCTGAAATAATAGATCTTAAAATTGTAAGTATTCATAGAATAAGTCATGTGGAAGTTTAGCTGCCAGTAATCATGTCATCATCTCATCAGATACCTTGTCATTGTGTATTAAACATGTTTGCTGATGTTTTTGTTTCTTAAATCATAATATGAGTACTATGCTGATGTTCTACGCTGATTCGTAAAGCTGAATGATGTGAATTTT